GCCTCCCACCCCCCCGGCACCGAGACGTGTTCCCAGTGGAGACTAAAAACAAACCAACAAAAGCCAACGGGCCGGTGCCCGCCCGCTCCAGCAGCGAAGGGGCGATGGGGGCGGTGAAAAATGAAACTAAAAACAACTGTTTTCTATTTACACAGATTTAAATACACAGACCAGCCTTCCCCGCGGTGTGTGTCTGCGCGCAGCGGCAACGCTGCTATGTAGGTCATGAAAAGGGTGGTGCATAGTTTAAAACTTCCCATTCTGGTAATTTCTTAAAGAACAGTCGTTCATAGTCTGAACACAAAAGCTCATGATTTAATGAGGAACAGAAACAAAATCTCTGATTGTTGGTGTTTCAAACTTCATTGGAGTCCTCTGGCAACCACAAGTTGATCCTCTGCGGCTTCAATACCCTTTAGCCTTCGATATAAGAGTACATGCTGAATAGAGAACAATGGCTGGTTGTTATGTTTATTTACCCTTACTACAAGCTGGGTTAACCTCTTCAAAACAGCTTTGCTAAGCCCGTTAACCACACGGCCCACATGACCTGTAGCCGTATCTCTAATGTGATGCAAATCTGACTCGAGACCATATGCACAAGTTCTGCTGCATTGTGTCTTCGAAACTTTACAAGTTTATTGCCGTCCAACCAGGGCCTTTAGGGTTGCAGGAGGGAAGGGGTTGAATACCAGCCACTTAAAAAAAAAGAAGTCAAGAGTCTCGCATTATGGCACATTCACTTTTTAATGACAGTTGTACATTTATGGCAAAGAAAAAAGCCCACATGGGAAAATGAGTTTCATAACAACAATCTCAACTGTTTAGTAATTATAGAAGAATTTGCCCTTCGAAAAAGGACTTCTACACTATAGCAAATATCATAGGACAAGGGGGAAACACCGACAAAACCAAAGTATTTGACCTGATTTTTCTGTTTCATTAGTTATTTTAGAAGAGTTATTGTCATCACAGCTGTCCTCCAGTGAAGTCATAATCCCTGTGGTTATTATAATAATTGTTGTGATGTCATATCCCCAGCAATATGACTTCACTCCAGGATGTAAGAGGAGGAGCACGTGGGCTGCACGGGAGCAAGCAGGAATTTAAATCAGACATAATTGTGGTAATGAGCAAGTTTGGCAAGAAAAATTATGTCAGATCTGCAGAAATGTAAATGGACTTCTGCTTAAATGTGATGTCTTTTCATTTTCCCCAAAGTAGTACAGTCCTTCATTAAAACTGCTTCTCTGCTCACATGGTAAGAACTTCATTTAACAGATCATTTTTTCTGGATAGCTGCAGCAAGCGTCACAATGTTCTGTGCCTGCTTCAGTAACGGCATGTCTATCATACTCCCATGGAAAGTAAAGGCTCCCTGGAAAACAGAAAATATAAACTTCCTGAAAGAACCTTCGAAATCACAAGTTATTTTGTTTTTGTTTGTTTTAACACCCATCTATCAAAGCAGAGACATTAGATCCCATATGAATCAAACTGATTAGTGCTGAATAACTTCAGAAAGAGCCAGGCAAACTTTAACAGGCAAATTATTTAAAAAAAGGGGGGGGGGAAGGGGTGGTGGAGAAATTTAATGAAACCATCATTTCCTCGCTCTGGGCAGGAAAGATCTTATGTATTTAGCTTCCAATCTGAAAAACCTTACTAGCTCTAAAATAACTGGTAGGCTGGTACAAGGAGTCTACCTTACAGCACAAAATCGGGCCCATTTTATAAATCAGATTGGACCATCCTCACTCATCACGCACAAGTGAGCTGTAATAGCTACAGGTCTTAGTCTACATTCAGCAACCCTTCATGGTAGATGATTTCTAGCTGACTGTAGCATCATACTAGTAATTCTTTCCCTGCAGATACCAGCACTTAGCCCCCTTCACTTAACATTTCACAAAGTGCAAGATAGTAATACTGTGCCCAAGTACAACATTCTTCCATTGGCAGAACTCAGAGCTAGCTACAAGTATGGGGAAGCAAACAAACAAAGGAAGTTTTTCTTTACTCAGTGCACAGTCAACCTGCGGAATTCGTTGGTGAAGGCTAGAACTTTAACAGGGTTCAAAAAAGAGCTAGACAGATTCATGGAGGTTAGGTCCATCAATGGGTGGATGGGTAGGAATGGCCAGGATGGGTAGGAATGTTGTCCCTAGCCTCTGTTTCTCTGGAGGTGGGTGACAGGGGAGGGATCACGTGAGGATTACCTGTTCTGATCCCTCCTTCTGGGGCATCTGGTATTGGCCACTGTCAGAAGACTGAATACTGTACTGAGTTGGATAGACCATTGGTCTGACCCAGTATGGCCATTCTTCTTATTATCCGTTACAGTGGGGAAACTGAAATAGAGGGCTCGGTCCCTAGACTTTTTTGGGGAAATATCTAGACAGAACTCTGTAGCACGTAGGATGGTTTGTGTGCAGGGACTTATGCTGCTGTTCCAGAGCTGCTGGCACTGCTCCTTTCCTCAGCTGCGCTGGTTCCCAATGACTAGCAGATTATGTCATTGTTCAGAAAATGGATTTCTAACAGGGAAGACCATGTTGTATATGACTGTTGTGCCTGTTGTGGAGAATTTACCAGACTATGTTCTATACAGGATTGACCAAGAGTGTCTGAACAGTGACTATCCAAGACTCTTGAGCCGATTTTTGAGTCACTTCTCATTATCAGTACTTTGCTCATGTAACACACTTACAAGTGTTAATATGAGATGCACAAGCTGTAGTTACATCTCAACTGTAAGAAACATCTGGTGTTAAAGAGCCCCAAACCTAAGCCCCCAACTTTGGGGCTGTGTCTACACTGGGCCACTTATTCCGGAAAATCAGCCGCTTTTCCGGAATAAGCTGCAAGCTGTCTACACTGGCCCTTGAATTTCCGGAAAAGCAATGATGCTCTACTGTACAAAATCAGCCGCTATTCCAGAAAAACTATTCTGCTCCCGCACGGGCATAAGTCCTTATTCCGGAACACTGTTCCGGAAAAGGGCCAGTGTAGACAGCCCAGTAGTCTTTTCCGGAAAAAAGCCCTGATCGTGAAAATAGCGATTGGGGCTTTTTTCCGGAAAAGCGCGTCTACATTGGCCACAGACGCTTTTCCGGAAAAAGGGCTTTTCCGGAAAAGCAGCCTGCCAATGTAGACGCTCCTTTTCCAGAAAAACTGAAAACGGAATAGTATTCCGTTTTAAGCAGTTCCGGAAATTCATGCCAGTGTAGACACAGCCCAGATGTTTTAGTTTCCTTTTCCTTTTATTAAACCCAATAGTAAACTTTAACATTTTGTGTTGAAGAAATAGGATTCAGAAGCTGAAAAGCTTTGCAGTAAGACAGCCCCAAGTGATATTGCAGGAATCCTCATCTGTCAAAGGCACTTCTGACATTTTTAAAAAATAGACAAAGCAAGTTAGCAGGATTTTTGTTATTATTTCCACCTTCCTGCTAATTTGGAATAGTGAGCTAAAATCCAGAAAAAAAGCAACTAATTTGAATATATTCTATTCACAGTAGCTCTTTCCACCTCCAGTTTTCTGTAGACTCGCAATACCAGTAATTATGGTATTACCTTAAATTCTCCTTTCTAATTTCACTTGATGGAATTTCCCTTTTTTAAAAAAAATCCTTTTATTTCCCTTGACATTAAGATAAAGATAACAAGATTTCTTTTATAAATGCCATTGACCTGAGTGAAGTTAAACTAGGGATTTGTTTAGTTCCAGATGTGAATCTTCTTACTGGCAAGCATTCCCAATAAGCTCATATTTCCAGCCTTTTACTTAGTTTTCTAAGTCGTTAAAATGCTTTATTAGGATGCAATTCTTAATCTCATTTTAGCAAGAACTGGAATATCCTTAAATGATTGGTAACAAGTGGGGCTTCAGATTGCACATGCTCTCCAGTATGTTCCAAACCCTCCACAGAATCAGCATCATAAGCCATTCAGTCTTTTTCCATATCTCACGGAGATAAGTTTATAATTTTTATCAAAAAGATTCTAAAAGGTCACTTGGTGATAGAGCTGGGTAAACCTTTTATGTTTAGAGAGTCATTGTAAATGTCTCTTAGAATTTTCTCCTTTCCCCATTTTCCTTTCTTTGTCTGCATTCCTCTGATAGAATCCCCTAGTCTCTTACTCTCTCTTACCCTAAGCCTCAGCCCTATCCTTTCCTGTAACCCTGGGCTTCAGACCTTCACATCCCCTCCTTTGCCACCACCATGCAATGGGATCCTTTCTTCTTGCCCAGTGATTGACATACCCTTTCCATTGTAAGGCTCAGCAATATTCTGCTAAGCTACCCCTACACTCAAATTATGGACGCATCGGGGCATGGGAGACATGATGTCAGAAGCAACAAGGTCACAGACTTGCTGGGACAGATAACAGGATCTTCTGAAATTAGGGAGCAAATCCTTAGCTGGTAAGATGTGGGGGCTATGATGGGATGGAAGCCATACCATCTTAGGGTGCATCTACACAGCAGCCTAAACTTGAAATAAAATATGCAATTCACACTACACAAATTGCATATCTTAGTTCAAAACTATTTCAAAATAGCTTATTTTGAAATGTGGCACATTTACACAGTGCCAAATTTCGAAATGACACCCTATTTGGAGCCATCCCTTATCTCTCATGCAACGAGGTTTACCAGGATGGTGAAATAGCATTCCGTTATTTCGAAAAATGTTTTTAAATAATGGACAGCTTGTGTAGATGTGGGGTAGCTATTTCAGGATACCAGAGGTATCCCAAAATAGCTGTGCAGTGTAGATGTACCCTTAAAGGGACATATAGTAGTGGTTATAGTTGTATAATGGGTTACAACCAAACCTTTTTCAGGAATGAGTGTGCCACTGGGAGTCTTAAAACTGTTAGTTTACAATGTATAGTTCTGTTTAAGCAATTCACACAGATGAGATGCCAGCTCTAGGCACAAGGAACTCAAGCCATATAGTGACTTCCTCTGGAGATTTCATGTGTTTCATATTTAGTGAATATAATCTTAAAAAATTCTCATACCTGTGAAGATAGTAAGAGTTACACTGGGTAAAACTGATCAGAGAGAACAAGGCCCTTATAAAATTCATACCTGTATATCTCTTGCACGTTGTTAGGGACAGAACCACAGCTATATTTGGCAGGTTTACTACTGCTATCCCTTCCCTGATGTATGTGGAGATATATAGAAGAATAACAAAAGTTCCTTAGCCAGAGGGTATGTCTACAGTACAGAGTTTTTTTTCGGAAAAACTTCAATTACATCGACACTGCAGTCACATTCTTTTGAAAGAAAATTTAAAGAACAGAAGGGCTTTTCTGACATTGGTAAACCTCTTTCTACGAGGAAGAAGCCTTTTTCCGAAAGAGCTCTTTCAGAAAAAGATGTGTGTGTATGGGAAAGAGGGAGAATTCTTTTGCAAGAAGAGGAAGGAGGAAAAAGCACAGGTGCCCTGGTGGCCACTCGGCCCATAGTAATCACAGCTTACATGGAAGATAGCATCCATTGTTTTAGCATCCATTGTTTTGTCTCTTTCGGATGTAGTATTTTCAGAAGCTCTCTTTCAGAGAAGCTTCTTCTGAAAGAAGCCTGCAGTCTATATGTAGCCTGAAAGGATTGCAATGCAACATACAAAGGATAGACTGCATGTTTTAACATGTCCCTGAATGCAATGATTGTAACTGTTGGTGGTCCTTGCACTAAGAAGGACAAAGGGTACGTCTACACAGCAGGGCAAAAGTCGAATTAAGCTACACAACTTCAGCTACATCAATTGCATAGCTTAAGCCAAAATAGCTTAACTTGACTTTTGGCGCTGTCAACACAGCAGGAAGTCGAAGGAAGAACACTCTTCCTCTGACTTCCCTTATGCCTCATGAAATGAAGGATACCGTGAGTTGAAATAAAGGCTTGCAGTGTAGATGTGGACTATGTTATTTCGGAATAATGTCAGCTATTCTGAAATAACGCTGCTGTGTAGACATACCCAAAGTGATTTCTGGCTCCTTCCTCCTCCTGAACAGCTAGGCAAGAGTCAGCCACAATCTCACCCAATATTTGTTCAGAATTCCTGTACATGTCACAACAGGAACCTTGGACTCGCCACAAGATCACAGAAACTAGGGCCTAAAAAGTGAGCCCAACTGCATACATGGCAAACGCCATTTCAGTTCCAGTGTGGAAGAGAAAGGCTCTTGTTTTCTTTCAGGAGGGAAATCATTCTCTTTCTCTTTTTCCCTATTTCTGAGCAGCAAACAGACATTTTTTGCCTGCTTTCACAAGGTTGGCAGCTTTTCTGCTTTTATACTTGTGCAAACTTCATAGTTTTTATTGTTCTCCCTTGGTCTGTTTATACATTTCCTCATTTT